TGTGCAACCGTTGCAATAAATATAGAAAGATGATTGTTAATCGTGATGTAATATTTAGCGCATCACATGACTTCCGTCGTAAGTTCGTTCTAATTGGTCAATATTAACGGTCAATTGGTTGGTCCACGGTTTACAATCTCACAATGGATTGCAAACGGCAATGATAACACCAAATGATGGAAAGGATAAGTTTTCCTTATTTTATTCCTGTATGACTCAATTATCTCTTCTTGCTTATATGGGTCCATTCGTCATTAATTGTTGCACAGCAACTTTCAGTCACCCTTTCCACGAAGTTGTTGCATATTCACATCAAAAATGTATCTATCTTCCTATACATTCTTTAAACCCTCCACTAAGACAAGGAAAGCCTGTTTTTGCAAACAAACCTCATCAAATTTTATATATCTTCCTTCCCAATTGTATAGTTCCTTAATAAATCTAATGATATTGACCATACATATCAAATTTAGTAATTTTCACAAACACGCAAGTCCATGCTTGTGCATTCTCATCTCTGAGGATTTTTTCCAACAGGTTATGGACTTGACATGTTGGGAGGCTTTGGGCAAAATGAAAGATAGACAAAAACTTCCCCCCGGACCAGGCTTGGCTGTTTACCATATAGCATTGATTACTAATGAGAGTTGGCACTCATGTGATATTTGTTTCATATTCCCCACACTAGCATAAAGTTGGTGTCTGCAACCAATTTGAAGTTTGTAACTCAGGATAATATATATTATTATTTTCGATCTTAATTACCATTAGAACTTTCTTTCATATCATAAAGTTTAGACTATTTCATAGACTTGAGGGAATATTTAAACAATAGCTCATTCCCCTCCCACATTTAAAAATAATAAATTCTTCCAGATTAAGCATGTTGGCTGAAATTTGCTTTTTTTAATAAATGAATTTGAAGTGCTGAAAATTGAAAATATTGTTAAATGAAAATTAAAACCTGGATTAGTTTAAAAAGCAAGGGAAAAAAGGTGGCAAGAAGTTTGATATAAATGTAATTGAACAGTTGAAAGTAAGGCTCCACATGAGCCAGCTTGCAAGCCAAATAACTTAGTAGGCTCATAAGCCAGGTCGCAAGCTGAATAAGTTTTTGGCTTGCAAGCCAGCTCGTGAGGAACTTTAGTTGAAAGCCATGTTTTTGGCAGGTGATATAGAAAAAAGTAGGCTGAAGATAAATTAAAAGAATTCTGAATGTTGACTGAAAGTAATCAATAGAAGCCAATAATATTCCTTCTCTTTCACAAATTAAATCGTGGGTATCTAGTCAGAAAGCAAGCAACCAAAATGCAAATTCTAATTGATATTATTATTTTTTTCCTTATATCTTATTATCTATTCATATAATTATAACATGTTTTTAATTTTTTAAACTAGAATAGTTCTTGAGACAACCATGTTCTAACAATACTTACTCATGAGAAGCTCCCAAACTATTTCCTTTTCTCCTTAATTTTATATTTTCTAAAAGAACAATTGATAAAAAAATATATATTAATATTTATAATGGTTTTTCATAATAATAGTTGCCAATTTTATTAGTTTTTTTTTTTAATAAAGGCAATATCCTGCTCATATAATTTTATTAGAATAAAGTAAATATAATAAATAATAATTCACAAAATGAATTCCAAATTAACTTTATATGAGGCTATTCCTCTTGGAAATATATATATACACTCCCCTACCATAATATTATTATTATATGGTTGGCTTGGTCTAAAGACCTCCTATTGTGCGTCATGCGACCAAATTTCAAAATAGCAATTTTGTATAAAAATTTTCAAAAAATAGGACTTCACGTGATTTTAGTTTTCTTACTGCCAAATTTAGATATATACGATAGTCAAGAGCTAGTCTAAATTTGGTAATATTTTCCTAAATTTAGAAATTGTCATAGTGGCCAAATTCCTCACGAGCATAGTAAAGTACATGTTTTATACAGTTCAAAATCAACTCAGAGACAAATTCAATTATGTTTTTAGAACAACTTTCAATATTGGAAGGAAGATTTCTACTGAACTGGCATGCAATAAAACATAAGTCATTTACCTGTAATTCTACCTGTATACCAAAATGGTATAAAATCCTGCAACCAATTGTATTAGAATCTAATGATGGTTCTAATTTTTTAAAGCCACAATTTATAACTCATAATATACAAAATCTAAAGGGACAATCAATAACATATCCTAATTTGAATACTCAAAGTCAAGATTGGGTAGTAATCTGGAACCCTATGATACAGAATCCAATTTTTGGAAAGATTATAGAAAAACGTCCAAATTATAATCAAATAATTATTGAACATTGGATAATCAATAACATATTTTCAACAACTGATATTCCAATAATTCAAAAGTGCAATGGTTGTGTTATTCATCAACAAATCATCATATCCGGAATTAAATCATGCACAAATATATATAACCCAATATATGCAATAGTCATCAATACAAAAAAAATTTCTGCTTACAAGCGTAGTCTTAACTATACAATAGCTGACTTATATGCAAAAGCAAAATTTGTCATGGAAGTTAATCTAGGTATAATTAAACCAAGCTTTCATATGCCTACTAGAAGACAACCAGATAATAATCTCATTATAAAATTTGTGGACAATCCAATTATACAAAATCAATTACTACAGCACCAAATAATTCTAGAACCTTATAAAAGCCTGGAATTATACAGATGGTTCTTTGACAAATTTGGGAACACATGATATATCTATGGTCTGTGCTTATATACAAACACATACAGCAGCACCACAATTACAATTTACTGCAAGTTTAAGGTCTTAGCCCTCAGCAGCAAGATCTGAACTAATAGCAGTGGTAGCAGTACTATTAGTCTCTCCTCCAAATGCAAATATTAGAATTTATACTGATAGTAAATGTACTATTGATCAATATGAACAATTAAC